TTCCCCCCAAAAAACGCAAATTGTTCCGAATAGAGCGCCTTAATGCTCTTAGCTTGTAGTTTTGTTCCTTTCCTCCATAATATTTTTTTCCATTTCATTTACACCCTACGTTTAATAGTGTGAATTTATAGCCTAAAGCGTGTTGTAAGTGTAGGGTACATAAATAAAAAAAAATGTTCAAAAACATACCATGATTGCTCTATAAAACTATGTATTGTGTGTTTACGTTTTATTTATTTAGTATAGATTTTGATCGTAATATTGTTAATTGCAGGCATACGAGACGCTGTGCCTGATGCCGCTGGGGGGCGGGGAGAATACCTCAGGGTACAAGGGCTTCGGCTTGTCCGCTATGGTGGAACTCTTCTGTGGCGTATTGTCAGGTAAGTTAACATTATACTATAACTAGCTGCTGTCCACGACTTCGTCCGCGTTATATTAGAAAACATACGAACTATGTAAATAACAAAAAGCTTCGTATCGCTCGCGAACCGGACATTTCTCGGGGATGAACCGTATTCCATGTGTACTCCAGACTTTGTTTTATATATGTGCCAAATATCGAGTAAACATTAAAAAACTAAATTAATGAATACCATGGGAATCGTTACTGTTCCCGGGATAAAAAGTATCCTATGTGTTCTTCCAGACTATGCTCTAAGCCTGTGCCAAATTTCATGGAGATCCGTTCAGCCGTTTAGGCTACAAACGCTAACAAACATCCATCCATCGTAACTTTTGCATTTGTAATATTTGTATGATATGATATGATAGTCACATTGTAATAAGACACTATTACAGTAAGACTACATATTATTGCAATAGTAATAAGTAAATAATAGTATAACAATAACGGTGTCCTTTTACAATGTTACTACTATCACTGTGTGGGAGAGAGAGAGAGAGAGAGAGAAAGTATATTTAACGTTATGAAGGTAAATTGTAGGTTCCCTGTACGGGCACCACATAAGGTCGTGGTCGCACAGCGGCACGGGCGGCGCCGCCGACCTCGGCCAGTGCTTCGTGGCGCTGGAGCCCGGCTGCTTCGCCCCCGGCTTCCCGCAGCGCCTCGCGGACTGTCTGCAGCACTGGAGGCAGCTCGCACCCGTATTGTCTCTTACTATACAAAACTAAATAAACTTACACATGGAAATTTTGCGACTAAGAGTAGGTTGCGCCAATACCTAGTATCTAATCAAAATAGATTGAGTCATTCAGTACTTGTGATGTCGCAAAATCTATTATATCTATCTATAATACTATATCTATTCGTCTATCAATACTCTATACTTATTTAATAAAGTAAACAACACTACTTTGTGGCGTAAGATGTCAGCAACCACAGCATGTTTTTGAATAACTCTTTCTTTTATAAAAAGCCCTAAACTCTCGGCACGCTTTAGGCTATATATTTTCACGATATTAAACTTAGTTTGTAAATAAATTGGAAAAAACCTATATGGGAAAGGAACCATAAACTATAAGCTGATATCATGGAAGTAAGGTTGCGATTTGTTCATTTTTATATAATAAAGAACTAGCTATTGCTCGCCACTTTGCCCGCGTGAAATTAAAAAAATAAATAATAAAATATATCCTATGCTACTCTCAAATAAATTACCTTTCTAAAGCTGAAAACGTTATTAAATTCCGCCCAGTAATTTTTGAGTTATTTTAATAGATGCAAAAATACAAATGTTTCCTCTTTATGAGCTTTTCTTTCTCTAGATGCAAGGGAACATCTCTTATTTATAAGGAAAGTGGGTAGTGCATGTGTTATCAAGATTTATCTTGTTATCTCTGCAGACTGACCCGAGGCTGCCGGTGCTGGCGCCTGGGGACAAAGAGAGGAGTAGCGCAGCAGCCACCGACAGCTGCGGCTGCGTCTCCTTCCTGCAGCAGCAGCTGGACTCCAGCGCCGCGCTCGCCGACAGGCTCAATGTACGACCTATGCAAATCACCACATAATTGTTAGTATACAAATCAACACAAATAACTTGTAATTCCTAAATCCGCATATAGAGAAATTAGATCGCTCTGGCTGTCTTTTTTTAAGACCAAAATATATCTGCAATGTTATAGTAGAAACAATGTTTTAGACTGCCTTTTATAAACTAACTTTATTTTTAAAAAACACAAGCTGAGATGGGGATAGTTGACAATTTAAAAATAGACTTTTCCTTAATATTTATTAAAATAAAAAAAAATGTAATTTTTTTTTTATTTTTACGTTAAAATATTGTCACAATTATTGTAATTTCGAGATAACGGATTTGATTTTAGATGTTGTTTTGAAGAAACTATTAGCCTAGTCTTTTATATTATTATTTAGTGTAAGTAACAACTATTATACAGTAAGAAAGGACACAAGACAGAATTTAAATATGGTTATGAAATAAATATTTTGTTAAAACTGTGTTTTTTTTTAAATAATTTTTGTCACGTCGTTTTAGAGCCAGAAGATAGAAATAAAGATAAAAAGTTTGGATCACTAGTAATTAATTAATTAACATATTAAAGAAATACGCAAAATATGATTTTGATTCTGGCTGTACATTATAAGTACTGCTGCCATATATTTTTCTTTTGTAGCTGTCATTTCGACCTGTCCGTCAAAGTCACGTCAAAAAACGACATTAGCTGTCACAAATGTTCGTTTCCACTGTACTTTTTCGGCCAGTTTCGATAAAAGGTCAGGTGCCCTAACACTGTATATTTAATATGATGCTGGTCATATTCCAAACTTTTTTTGCGGAAACGGCAAATATCAAGCGTTTTGCCATTCCTTGTTTTTCGGATAAAAATCATGTTAGATGTTACTGTACAGTGAGCATGGAGCTATCTCCATTTATAGGATGTTCGTACCAACGGTCTTCTTTTCGTTACTATTTGCCCTGTCCAGCAGACAAATCGCACTACCTCACATATAATGGTAAAAATGCCTCTAGCTTTGTTTTAATAACCGACTAAGGTGTACAAAGCCGCCGACATCCGATTGAAAATTATGACAATGAATACAAGCACTTCAGTGTTGCCCAAAGTTAAGCGATGTTACCATATTTAAATAACGTTGGGTTTCATTTAATAAAACGGGAGGGTCTTAAAGAATTTTGTGTATGTGGTTTAATGCACTATTTTGCCTACCAAAAATACCTGGTTCGGGTCCTCTTGATATACAAAACCAGCTTATAAAAATGGACATTCATTTAGAAAAGTATAGAACCATAGAACCATAAAAATTATTCTGTCAAAAGAATTAATAAAAGTACAATTGTCATTCAAAACATTTAATTTCATTTTAGAATCTTTATTTTTTGAAAACGTTTATTACCAAAAGATACCATATATACAAGAAGAAATATGATACAAGAAGAAAGATAAACGTTGGTAAAGACAGTTGGAGGATAATCTTTTGTTTGGTACTTGGTCACTTTATTTAAAACCATAGGAGAATCGGACAGCAGTCCGGTACCTTTAGTGTAGTAGCACTAAGGGTACCCACGTGATCTTTTAGTACGACTAATC